CAGATTTTTTAGATGGTTTCCATTTATGTCAACTCAGGTTTTAGTTTTCTTCTTGTAAACATGCCTCTTAAAATCTAAGAATAGAGTGCTGAGGAGGTAGAAACTTAAGACATACTTGTTATTAAAACTAACTACCCCAACTTGCTGATGGTTTGTATTAAGTAGAGTTAAATGACAGATGTGCAAGAGATTATCACAAGTAACTAGGATTAGAAATAATTTTCCATCTTGGTTGTTTGTAATTTCTTTTAGTTCAAGCAAGTTTGCTGCAGTTGGATTTCATAAAGCTCTAACACAAGAACTGTCTGCATTAGGAAAAGATGGAATAAAAACTACATGCCTTTGTCCTATTTTTATCAACACTGGCTTTGTCAAAAATCCAAAAATGAGGTAAGTATTTAGGAAGGTTGCACATAAGAATTTCACGTCCCTAATCTTCAACAGCATCTTTTCTGCATTTTAAGCTGTACTCATTTCCAATTGCTTCAACTTCAGTAAAAACTAAGATAATCAGTACATAGCATTTACTTTATAAGGCAATGGTCTCCAACCTTTTTAAGGTGAAGCTCACTTTTTGAAGGAAAGGGCAACCCAGGATCTACCGTGCTTCCCCCGCTCCCCCGTCCCCCCACCCAGCTGGTCAGTGGGGGGCAGAGGGGAGGACAGAGGCGGATTAAGGTGTACTGGGGCCCTGGGCAAACACAAAAATGGAGGCCCCCTCCTTCCACCCCTCCTAGTGCTGACGGGGGATGCTGTGTGAACCCTACCAGGCTGGAGGGCACATACCCGCCTCTTCCTGCTCCCTGCCCCTGCAATGGCCAAATGTACACACACACATGCACACACACAGACACGGTGTCTCGGAGCTGGTGGAGCCTCACTTGGGGCAGGCAGCAGCTCCTCCCCGAGGTGAGGCAAGGCAGGGATGCAGGTTGGCGCTGGGGACTGGCACGGGCTTTGCCGGCCCAGGGAAGTGCTCCGCTCCCTGGCCCTGATGTGGGGGAGCAGACCACTTCCCCAGAGCCGGCAGAGCCTGTGGCAGGCTCCAGCCCCCAGCTCCAGCCCTTGGTCCCCACCCAGGCTCTGGCCCCTGGCTTCGGCCCCTAGCTCCAGCCCCTGGCCCCCAGCTCCTGGCCTCAGCCCCTGGCCCCAGCCGCCAACCTCTGGCCCCTGGCTCGCAGCCCCTGGCCCCCAGCCTCCACCCACTGGCCCTGAGCTCCAGTCCCTGGCCCCAGACCCTGGCCTCCAGCCCCCAGCCCTCAGCCCCCTTTGGTAAGTGTCCCATGCCGGACCGAGGCAGTGCGCTCACGGACCACTGTTGCTTAGAGGGAACATTGATCTGGGGGACATGTGCCCCCCGGGCCTCTGCCAGGGTGCATGCAGCAGTGGGAGCCCCCCCCCGCACACGTAGACAAGCCACCCAGGCTCCAACCATCCCCCGGCCTGGCCCAGCTGGGGCCCCACTCACCAGGTGGCAGGGGGCACGGAGGGGGATCATCCCACTCCCCCGGCCGGGCCCCAGAGACAGGGGGCATGGCTCAGCCCAGCCACGTGCGTCCTGCCACTTCTGATCATGAAGCCTCTGACTGTTGATCTCAGTCTGGGGGGGGCTGAGCCCCCCCAGATTGAGATCAGTAGTCAGGCTCCCTGATCAACCAGTCAATCACGATCAACCAGTTGGTGACCACTGCTCTAAGGTACCACCCTGTCTTATCTTTTGCGTTACTTTGAATATTTGAAGTATCCTACTTTGAATTATGTTGTCCTTAATGTCTTCATTATATGTACTACTATATGATTGCAACCCTTAAATGTATCCTGTCCTTTAATTTCAGATTAATGCCAATTTTGGAGCCAGACATGGTTGCTAAAAAACTCCTAGAGGGGATTCTGATCAATCAGAAAATGATTTTTGTTCCATCATCTTTGAACATCTTTCTATTCATGGAAAAGTAAGTATAGTAAACAATAGAAAATAGATCTCAGCTCTGAGTCTTTCCAAGTGTCCAAACGTCTGTTGTATTTGACTTCAAAACAGTACACTGAGGTCAAATAGTTGCTGTGTTGTAGGACAGCAAAGAAAGCAAATTTGTTTACAAAACAAACATATATAAAAATATTTTAAAATATAAAAAACACTTGTCTTAGAATATTGTATTAAGGCAGGGCAATTCCTGTCTTGGTTAAGAAAGTCTTGTTAAGCAAGAAATTCTCTCTTACATCTTGCATATAAAAGGAATAATTAGCCCTCTTTTCAAAGACTGTGGTTGGCCCTTGTAGCAGTGAAATCAGCAGTCGTACACATCTAGTACCCTGCTATATGGTTGAGTTTGGGAAGGGAGCTGGATTCACTTTCTCTACTGCCTGGCAAACCTACTCTGCCTCAGTGAGAAGTTGAAGTTTAGGTATCTCAGATGCAAATCAGAAAAGGGCCAGAGAAAGAAGGTACTTACCACAGTTTTGGATCTCTTTGAGTCATGTTGTCCACAAGCAGAATGTGAGGAAACCAAGGACAAAAAAGGGGTTAAAAAAAAGCTTACCATTCTGGCAGGAACAGGAGCAACCCAGAGAGCAGCTGGAGCCATGCCGCCCCCTTTTTAAGAAGCAGCTAGCCTGCAAATGGGCAGGCTCACCAGTTAAAAGGGAGCCAGAACAACAACGTAGGGGGAGAGAGAGAGAGAGACAGAGAAGCAGCTCAGTGGGGCTGGTGGCAGAGAAGGAGTGGTGCCTGATATAGAACACTGAGCGAGGAAGAGCAGAAACCTCCCTGCAGACCTAAGGATCTGGAGAGAGCCTTCTGAGGCAGGAGGGGGTATACAGAAACAGAAACTGTGCTTCCTAAAGTTTATTATCAGAAGATGGACAGGGAGTCTATCTGGTACTAAGTATCAAAGAAGTACTGAGTGAGCTGCAGGACTCAGTCACTCCTAGCTAGAACACAAAATAAAAATTAACTTTTGCCCACACTAACACATTAGGTCTCAGCACCAAGCACTTTATATTACCATTAGCACTTGGTTAGATAGTGTGACACAGTTGCGCTTTATAGGGTATGAATTAGATTATCGTTTGATGCACTTCAGGAATCTACAAGAAGGTTCATACTGGTAAGGTAATGTGTGCACTTTAGCTAAGGCTTAGATGCAATAGTAGTAAAGCTGGTGTACTTTACATGCCAAGGGAGACAGTGCAACAGAGTGCAGCAAACACAGGGTCAGAAGAATCAGACAATATTAAGATGGGTGTAAAGCATAAACTACTGCTAGTAACAGGAAAGAGCAAATTCAGTCAATACCTTGTAGTGGCAGTCAACTTTTCTTGCACAGAAATAAGAGGCAAATATTTGGGGAAGCATGTGCACCAGTGAAACTGTGACTGAATATAGCATGGAACTTAGGGCAAGTGTCACTAAAGAATTCTTGTATGCAGAGGGTGGATATATTTGCCAAAGGTCAAGAATTAACAGTCCTTGAGTCTGCTGAACAAGACATTGAAGCTGTAGTTGAGATTGACTGCTTAGACAAGTTGCGTGCTGAACAAGACACTTAACATCAAGGTGGTGTAGGGCTCGGGTGTGAGGGTAGGTGTAGCCCTCGAATCTGACACCAAAAAGGGATGTACCGATTTCCAAATCCAGGGAGTTAAGGGGGGGCTATGACAAGACTGAACACCTCCTGAGGCATTAGATCTATAAAAACACATGGCAGACAACTTCATTAAAATTGGAGCCTGAAACTTCCACAGTAAGGAGGCATGGTGGCTTCTATTAGAACAACAGTGAATTCAAAGCACTGCAAGGCAAATAAGGAGCACAAGAGCCAGCACACTTCCTCATTTTGAAGTGCACATATATCAAACACTCAGACTTACTGCTTTAGCAGTACACACAGGGTATATTGTATCCCTGTCTTTATTTATGTCCTGTGCTGAGGGAACAAAGGGCAGAGAGCATTTCCTGCTTCTCTCACAACAGTCATGTACCACCCATGATCTGGAGGAGAGAGCAGAATATAGATCTGCATGTCTATATATGTATTTTAAAGAGCTCCAGTTACTGGTAATCAACTTTTCTTTCCCATCCAAGATACTGTCCATAAGGACACTCTGACTGTGGGTGATTTTAAAGCAAAGGCACACATAGGCAGAGACAGGTTTTGGAGTGCCATAGGAAAATAACCAAAAATCCACTTTACCAAATGCAGCACCTGCCCATGAGATTTCTGTGATTGTGTAGAGCAGAGGTGTCAAACTTGCTTTGCATCCTGGGCTGAATCTGGACCACGGTGTTTCTCGCAAGCTGAACACGAGTCGTTCAGGGTTTCTCACTGGAGGAAAGACCTTGCTCAGGCACTGCCAAATCTCAGCTCTGCCAAGTAATAAATATGCCAGTGCTCATTCAGAGGACAGCTGTTTAGGATAGCTGCCTTGTGTACCTTGATTGAGCTGATGGATAGGTCTACAGGCTTAAGCTCCTGAAGATGCACTATAGTTGGAACAAAGACTTGTTAGAGCTAAGGTTTCTTATCTGACATCAGCTAGAAAACCTGCACCACTTTGCTCAGTAAGTACATGTAGAAAACTCCTGTATGAGCAAAGATATTGCTTAGTTAGGAAGAGCAGCTCCACCTGATTTCCAAGACCCATCAAGTCTCTGGTCTGTGAGAAGAAGGGAGTATGAATCTGTGTAAAGCACTCTCCATATCATGGATAAGGAAGTCTGAAATAAGGAGCAGAACCCTGAAGTTACTCATGTACTTCAGCAGAAGGTCTTGGTACCAAAATTGCTTCAGCCACATAGGAGTGGGGTAATAGGATCATCTAAACCAAATCCTGTTTCACCTTGTAGAGTACCTTTGGGATCAGACATGTGGAGTGGGAAGGCATACAGAGGCATCTTGACTACAGGATGAAGGAGGCATTGTACAGGGAGTCTGAGCAGAGAACTCCCCTGGAGCAGGAAAGGCACTTCCTGTTTTAATTGGATGTCAGCCAGTCCATTTTTAAATAATCTCAGTATACACAGAAAGATTGGGGAACTGAGTACTTGTTTTTACAATCATGGTATAGGACAGTGGTGCTCAGCCTTTTTGGCTGACTGGCCAAATGGATCCTGCTGGTAGTCCCAATCTGGCAAGGGCAGTTGCAGCAGGGCAGCATCCAGCCATGTAGTGGGGGACAAGGGAATCTCAGCTCCAACCTGGCCCCACGGGGAGGGAGGGGGCATGGCCCACCCTGCAGGGGAAAAAGGGGGCATTGCCTACCCTGGAGGGGGCTTGAGTTGGCCCCATCCCAGCCTCAGCGGGAAAGGGGCTATAGCCCAGCCCCCTCCAGCCAGAGGCGGGGGGGAGGGGGCATAGCCCAAACTCATTCAGCCATGGGGGTGGGCAGACCTGGCCCCAGCCTGCTGTGCAGGGTTTGGAGTTTGGGAATTTGGTAGCAGGGGAAGGTGGCCAGATTTATTGTCATCACTCCACTGCTGTCAAATTTCCTGATCCATGGGGAGTCTCGTGGGCCAGATACCTATGGTTCCATGGGCCTCACTTGGCACACCAGCTGAAAGTTAAGCACCCCTGGTGTAGGGAATGATCCTGTTGAAATGGTCTATCTTGGTATTCCAGAGAGTGGGAGGTACACTCTGGAAAAATAGAATAATGCCAGATATGCAAATGCTATACTGCATAAATATTAAGGTGGCATAGAATGTGGCCTAGAGGAAAGCCATTTCCTACTATAATAAGGGACTGCCCTCTGAACAGTAGCATTAGTTCTCATAAAGACTGCAAACAATCCTGCAGGAGGTAGGTCCAAGCTGTCACAGAATCCCAAAGGTTCCTATGAATTCAAGTCTCTGCCCTGTAAGCAAAGTTGAATTTTGTATATTTAATAGCTGACTCAGAGTCCAAAAGAGCCATATCATAGTTTGCAGGCTGTTTGACACTGGGTCAAAAGAGGCTTCTCTTACTAGCCAGTTGTCCAGGTAGAGGTAGACAGTGACCCCTTGCCACCTGAGGTGCATGGCCTTAAGAGAGGAGAGCATAGTGAAGATTCTTAGAATTGTCAAGCCAAAAGAAAGGGACCTAGTGCTGGTAGTAGTTCTTATCCACCATAGACCAGAGGTATGTGCTACTGAGCAGCTGAGAAATGCTTATGGAACCATTGATGATTTTTGGTTTGTTTCACGAACTAACACAAGTGCAGGAATGACATAGGCGTCAATTTCTAGGGTAAAAACATCATAGGTTTATTTAATACTTTTGGATTTCTCAAATCTTGGAACTGGAGATAGAGCAAGGGAATTTGGGATTCTCCCTTCCTTTCACTCATGTATCCAGGCTGTCTCCTTTCTTCCCATAGTTTAAATTTATAATAATTATTTTAATTTGTTCTGTCATTTTTTTTCAGAATACTTCCAGAACGTGCCTTAGCAGCTTTGAACAAGCTACAGGCAATTCAATTTGATAAAGTTGTTGGATACAGAAACAAGGAATGACAAGTTAATAGGTTTCCCCTCTATAATTGCTTGGCTGCAGTTATACAGTGTTTTGAATGATTTGCAACAAAAAAGTGATGTGGGAAGGCTTTCTAGCAGCCTTCCCACAACACTACCACCTGACAATGGCCAGGCCTATATTAGGAACATTTTGCCAGCCTAGCTGTACTACATCAGTATAGATGGAGCTTATGAGACAAAACTGGTTTTGCTGGTATAATTTGTTCCAGCAGTCTTGAGCAAAATACAGTATTCCAATAAAAATATAGTTTTGACAGAATAACTGCCAACACCAGTGATTCTCAATAGGGTGCCTGGACACCCTGGCATGCCGCAGGGTGCCATAGAATGTTAGCACTGTTAGATGTGCAAACATGATTCACAAAATAAATCTAAAGATTTCAAATAGGAATCCTTAGTGCTAAAAACATTCTAACCTGTTGCAGTCTTTTATGAATTCTCTGTAACAGAAGAATTGCTCTATTATTTTTCTTCAGTCAAAAAAATGAGTAAAAACCTAAGAGTTACCATTTTCCAAGGGGTGCCTTGAGTCTAAAAAGATAGAGAACCACTGGCCTACACTAATGAACTTCACTCTGCCATCTCTGTTGGTCACCTCTTTGTAACTGAGCAACACAGCTGTACTGGCAAAAGTTAATAGTTTATAGTCATGACCAAAGCCCAAGCAGTGCTGCAATTATGACAAATGAGTTGTTCTAAGTATCTGGTTGCTTTATTTCCTATTAGAATGATTATTTGAATGTCTTGGAGATTTTACTGTATTGTATAATTAATGTATTAGGATACCTAGAGATTTGGAATAGCATCTTTATCATTTTAAAACTACATAACTAACCAGATAATATACAAAATGCATATCTATGCTTCAACAGTCTGCATGGGGAAGAAGAAAACTGGATTCCTTCCAGCAGAATGTTACTTAATTTTTTTTGGTACTCTGATGCGTTAAATCATTAGCACATTTGTAATATTTAAACAGGTTGGTTAAAACGTCTTAAACCTGAAGGTGTTCGTTACTAAATCATACAGTATGTATATGCTAAGTTTTCTTCTCTCTCAAGGTATTGTTAATAAGGAATTACAGTGGTTATCAGATTTACTCAAATCCAAGATGATTTTTCCTTCCCCATCAATATGGAGGGGGACAAAAGCTTCATCTTAGATTTGAGTACTGGCCTGGGGCAGCAGGCTGCTGCAGCCCCAGCTCCAGAGCTGAGGGGTGGGAGGCATGTGGGTGATATTGTATTCTAGGGGGGAAGTGGAAGACTGGGGGAGACCAGTCGTTTGAGACTTGTGGGAAGAATGTGCAGGAGACTGTGTAGCCTGCTGCTGCTTCTTTTGCTGGACGAGGCTGAAGGTAAGTGAGGAGCAGGAGGCAACGGGGTTGGGGGCAGGAAAGGGATATGGGAGGGACAAGGGCAGGGTGAAGGTGAATCAGGCACCAGGGACAGGTAGCAGAGGAGGAAGGCACAGGCATGGAAGGGGCAGTGGGGCATGTGGCAAGAGGGATAAGCAGCAGGGGTCAGGTACAGGTATGGGGAAAGGGGCAAGGGGTGGCAGGATTGGTGGAAACTCTGCTTCCAAACCAAAAAATGTTGAATAACTTTTTGGAATATTAAAGTGCAAGTTCTGTGTGAACAAATTAGGACTAAATCAGAAATTAACAGAAGATAGTGAGATCTGTATTATAAAAAGTTCTGAAGAAGAAGAGGGGAGTAAATTATGAGATAGAGATGAAGAAACACAAAAGCTTAACATCAACTAGAACATTAAAGAACTGTCAAAGACTGAAAGGAAGAGAAAAAACACAAGCCTGTGGACACTGACTTGGATTAGGGAAGCACTGATAACAGAAGTTAAATATCTGTCTCTATGTATGTTTTGGGGGGTATCTTTAAATGCTACATTTGTTTTCTGATAGGTTGATTTATTAATAAATCAAGTTAAAGAAAAACCCACAAAACTGTCATAGTAAGATCTAACCATCTCTGCATCTCATGTGCCCAGCGGTCACTGTAGTAGCCATATATCCATTCACTTATTAGCAGGGATCCTGGTTTTCCCTGATTTAAAAATCACAAATTCTCTGCTAAAAAACCCAAAATCTGTGATTAAAATTAAAGACCACCCACAATCCCCACAGCTTTGCTGGTGCCCCTTGCGCCCCCTCCCCCACAGCCTCTTCTCCCCTAGCCCTGCTGGAGGGGGCCCCAGCTGCCAGGGGTACGGACCCAGGTCCGCAGACCCCTGCCCCCTCCCCCCCCCGTGGGCTGGGGGGGTGGCTCCCCGTTGCTGCATGCACTCCCAGGGGGGAGGGAGGGACCTGCACCCCCCCAGATCTGTACCAGGGGCAGGTGCAGGCTGAGGCTGCTGCCCAGCCCGATGGGGCTTGGGGCCTGGGGCCACAATGTGCAGCTGCAGGGCCCCAGCCAGGAACAGAATGGGACTGCAGGTGGCTCATCCGGGGGGAGGGGGAGGGCTGGTTCCCCACTACCATGCGCACTCCTGAGGGGCAGGGTAGACCTGTGCCCACCAGATCTGTACCCGGGGCAGGCACAGGCTCAAGGTCAAGCTCCCAGCCTGCTTCCCTCCCGTGGGGCCTCCAGAGCCAGCAGGTGTGACTTGGCATGGCTGAGGACAGCGGGGCCGTGCGGGGATTCCTCACCGGTGTAAGCTGCCCCTGCCCCCCTCTTGCTGTCTTGGTGACGCACCTCCAGTGCCTGCCGCTGCTTGGAGGGGAGCAGCCCCAAGCCACTGTCCTCACTACAGCCCCATGTGCAGGAGGTGCATCACTGGGGCAGCGGGGGAGGTAGTGAGAAGTGGCAAGGAGGTTTTCTGCAGGGCTTCTCTGCTCCCTGCCACATCAGGTCACGGGAGGGGGAAGCAAGGTGGTAGGGAACAGCAGGCCCCTTGCTCGCCGCCAACCAAAAAAGGTTGACAACCCCTGACTTATAGGTAGAACAAGTACTAAGTTTGGGGTGAATATTAGAAAAAGCATTTGTCCTTTTTTCTTCTCTGGATTCTTTGTAGCAGTCATGCACACCAAGTATTCTGTCTTTTGTTCCCTTAGGCAGCTTCCCGTATTTACCAACAACTTTACTTCGTATTTGCTAGATACACCAGTTTATGTGTAACTTCTGTCCCTAGCCTGTTTGTGTTGGATCTGGCATGTGGGTAGGGGAGTTTGTGGGCCCAGTCTGGCTTGTGGACTGGCCCTGTTTACCTGGCCACCTCTGGAACTTAATTTAAATGTTTATTTATGTTAGGTCTTTGGCATTTTATTGCAGAAGTATTGGATAGCTTGGGCTTAATTAAGCAGAAATATCTTGGATATAAGATGCTGGGTTTTTGGTTGTATCTGTTTTTATCTAAGGGCATAGGCAGGCAAGGTTCTTTGAGTAGATATGATATATTTTATTAGAC